TTACTTAAACTATTAAGTTTCCATTCATATTTAAGTCGAATGTAAAATAAACTTCTATAATGTACTTATATTTAACTGTTAGTTATTAAATGTTTAGTAATTATTAAAAGTAACACTTTAAAATATGAAAAATATAGCAGCTATTATGTACTCTGTGTCCTCGTTTTTATTTCACCAGCAAAATATTTTATAAAATATAAATAGGTGTTTACTTAATTATCTACCGATTTATATTTGATTATAAAAATGTTAAAAGAAAAATTCTGAGGAAAATGTCCATGACACTATTCTCTTCAGAGATTATATTTTGTACATTTTGAATTAAAATCCAACAAAACGCAGGTAGGTGCTGCTTATTCTCGGGAACATGTTATATGAATATTTTTTAATTATTTTAGAATATCATGTTAAAAATTCAGTTAATTTTTGAAGTTATTCGGTTTCTTCCACTAAACTAGTTTTTTTATCTTTTTACCTATCTTTCTTTAACAACAATTTTTCGATAGTCCTTGTAAGTAAAATGTACTTAGCTAAAGCATACAATGAATGACAATTCGAAATTTGTCACGACTTTTCGGGCTGTCAGGTCGTCTATACGCCAGTATATTCTAAGCCAACGGTTTTAATTAATATCGACCTACACCCCGGGGAAATTCTAGCGGTGGCGACAAAAATTTAAAATGGCGGAAAACATGATGGCCACCATATCAATTTTAAATAGTTATAACTCGGAAAAGATAAGGGATAGTTTGATAGTGCTCGAACAAATGTTATAGAGACCGACAAGTGTAAACTGCTGGCGATAAAGAAGATGGAGAAAAAAACCAACAGTGACCCATTAATAAAATGGACAAACTTAGAAACGTGTCTAGCGATAGCTAATAAATAAAACATATTAACATAGAAAAAACATTTTTAAAAACAAAATTTTATTTAAATGCTCTAAAAAGAAAAAATACACTTTAAATTAAATCAAATAATAAAGAAAGGAATATGTATGCCCCCCCTCTCTACATCTGTCCCTGAAAAATATAAAGTAATAATAAACTTATTATCATTTTAGCTGAATGATTTTAAAACATAATATACTAAAGAAACTATCAATACATACTCTTTTTAAATACTTATATTATATTATATTATGTATGTATGTATCAAATAATAAAGAAAGGAACGAAAAAAATAGCTGATAATGTCCCATGTTCTGTTCTCCCACTCGTAAATTGTTGAGTAAATCAACAACACCCCCATCATTTTGCTGACACATGTTGCTTTTAAGTTCGGAATATCCAAAGTATCTTACAGATGTGGCACCCCTTGAAAATATACAAGTAACTTGAAACAATAACTCACCTTTACGGTTGGTAACGGAAAAAAACAAAAACGAGGACATTTACACCGCCAAAAAGAGAGCTTATTTTTTAACTTCTGAAGCCTCAAATGAATGCAGTGAAATATTCTATATGAACCTATGGAAATCTCATCGACAATTATCCACCGAATGGTTTTCCATTTGCGTCTCATATCTTTTAAGCGTTGGGCAGTTAATTGTCGATGATGATGGTTGCTGAACATTTTTCGACACCAAGTTTAAATAAATAATGTACTGTGAAGTGTCGATCCGGGTAAGGGCAGTGGTTTCAAAAAAAACATGGCTTACGTAAAGCAGATACCGTTGGCTTAAACATCTTATACTTTGCACAATAATTACTCTCAGAGTAAAAGTTTACAGATTCTGCTCCTTCTGTTGTTGATAATTTCATTATATCATCTGGTGGCTCCTGGTTTCTTATTTTTTAAAGAGTAACGTAGGAATGTTCTAAAAAGTATGAAATAAAAATGAAATAAAAAAACCCACGACGGACATAAAGGTTGTAATCGAAAAAGGATTAAATAAAATCTTTCAAAAACTGCCTACTAAAAGAAAGTTAATTACGAAAGATAAAATTAAAAAAAAGTGTTTTAAATACAGTTGATTTCTCGCAAGGTCTGTCATAATAAACAACTAGTTATGACTTTCCTTAGTCCTTCCTACTTTTCTACACTTGCTGCGCACACTACTTTAATATATATATATATATATATATATATATATATATATATATATATATATATATATATATATATGTAATTGTGTGTGCGGCGTGCTGTGCGTGCGTGCGTGCGTGCGTGCGTGCGTGCGTGCGTGCGTGCGAGCGTGCATCCACATCTATCCACGATTACAAATCAAAATTCAGATGCGTTGTCACCTGTGAGGATTAAGATGGAAACGAGACACGTTTCCACTAAAAAGGGTCTCCGGTTCTCTACACTCGCCACGCGAAACACAGCAGCACTACTATTTTGCTGTATTCAATAATGTGTACTTCCCCGGTAGAGCCATGCTGCAGTTTACTACTAATATAACTACAGCATGGCTCTACCACTTATAAGCGTCAAGCGCGGGCGTCTAGCGGCGCTTCAGGAGCATTACTTAATATCCATATCTAACTACGCTAAGTTTTGTCATTTCGACTTGGGAATTTAATCCGGAGCTCCACTCAACCTCTTGCGGAAAATAGCGCGATGCTGTAAATGTTGTACTAGTGTGACCATGAGGTGCGGAAGGTAAAGTAAGGTTATAAATCTTTTCGGTCGATAAATAGACACATCTTTAATGTACTACAGTTTTATAATGTATAAAATCTATCTTTATCTTTACTAAAAGTTTTAGAAGTAAAATTTTAGTTAGTCTTAAAAGGTCTTTAAAGTCGATAGTATGGTTTTATGTATGTATGTATGTATGTAGGGATTCTATTTTCGCCTCTTGTATCTCGAGAACAAAGAGTGATATTGACATGGGACCAGTTTCATTTAACGCATAATTATGTAACTTATACCTCATTAAATTAAAAAAAAATTGTATACAATAATGATTTGTCATATTTACGTGAACACCACACATTGATTAAAACTACTTTTACAGACTTTAACGGAACTTAAACGCGATAAAATCCGTAAAAGTAGTTTTAATCAATTGTATAAAATAATCTAAATAGGTATAATCAATTTGGAGATAAATGGGAACATTCCTTTGCACAAAAATGTTTATTTAAGCGCCCCCTGGCGAGTTAACATCACAACACCTATCTAAGACTAATAATACCCGTCGCCGATGAGTCACAAATATTTTACAGAAAACCGTATCTAAGCTACCCGTTTTGGAGATAGATGGGAACAAACAAACAACCTCTCACTCTAAACGTCCTTTACCCATACACGTTAAACCCATATTACCTTCTCCGTTTCGTCGCTAGTAAAAAGACTAGTATGGAAATAATTAAAGGCAATTCCGACATAATTCATAGATCTAAGACAACCTTTAGAGCAAAACAAATGAATCGACAACCACAGAAATGGGAAATTGTCACGAAACAACTTAAACGAAATCGATTTAACGAAAAAACTTATTTCCGTCCCCGAAAACGGCCCATTTATCGTCGATTCATGACCGCTATTACACTCTAGAATACAATTTTAATATCATTGCGGTGCTCGTAATAACGAAGCATTATAAACGGATTTCTATTATCGGGTGATTGTTTCTTAATTCATCATTTATCACCAGCTGGAAAGTATATATGAAGCAAAGCTCTGAAGGAAGTTAAAAACAAATGCGTACCGCCCAACCTATACACAAGCGAAATCGATTGGGTAGAAAATCTTCTTCAGTATTAAACGCTGGGTTATACAAAACGTGGTATTCCCCGCAAAATTGTTTGGTTATACAAAACACGTAAAGGGTTGCCAGCATTTAAAAATGTAAAATCAGTATGATATGAGACTGATTTTTATAACTTCATTATTTGTTTTAACATACTTCAACTTCGAATATTTTTAGAATATATTTTTTTTAATTTTATTTTTAGATGTTTATTTTAGATTGTGATATTATTATTTGATAACAAATAAATTATTTTGCACGCCTACTTTTAAGGCTAGACATCAAACCTATATTAGTAACGTTAAAATAACTACAGACATTAAATTATAAGATTAGTTTATTTTCTAACTCTTTCACTTCAGATTACATAACAAAAAATGTTATAGAAAAAATATATGGCCTGCCGTCCGTTGTCCTGTATGGCAAGTTATTCGTCTATTGGCCATAGGTAACGGCAATTAATATCACCACAACATTCGTACACTAGAAATTTCTTTGCTACCTTAGAGATATTCTACAAACATAAGCCCCCCTGTGAACAACATGCCGAAGGAATTTTCACAGATTGTCTAACAAAAGCCATTGTAGCTCCAGTATATATATATATATATATATATATATATATATCCGATTTATATATATATATAAATCGGGGTAAAAAAGACGTTTCTAATAAACAGCCTATCTCTCATCACTACTACTATATATGTTACTTTAGACCTACTGATCTAGATGAGAGTACTAATAGTATGTGCATGCAGCGTGGCTCTACCACGTAACAAATAAAGGCAACCAAACAATTTCCATTTTCTTGACCTAGCAAAAGCTTTCGATACAGTTTTTACTCCCTGTTACGAGTAAATAAGCTAGAGAGCATGGGTATTCAAGCAAAGGCGTCGCCAAGGGGGGGCAGGGAGGGCAGCTGCCCCCCTAGAGAATTCTAAAAAAGTTGCCAAATATAATGCAACCAAAGTCCTAAGTATTTGAGTTGATTTGCTTGAAGTTCAAGCCTTGAACAATCATTCCCGTACGTCGAAACTCGAATGAATTCACCAATTCCACTCTTAATATTCCGTACTACGCTGCGCTCTGCTCTACTCTATCGTTGAAGCGGGAGAGAGGGAGTGGGGAAGCAAAGCAACATGTAACCGCGTGGCGCCCGCGCCCCCCACACAGCCGCCTTTGTTTTATCGTCTGTCTGTCATTTATTCGTGCGTTAGCGTTGCCACTGCCCGCTTTTACTTTGTTTTGTGCGCTATTATCACATCTAAATAGTTGCTGTGACCACATAATCAATATGGACATCAGAAAATTTTTTGGTGAGTATCACTTGCGTTTAGCTTTCGTATTTTCCGTCCGTAAAATAACGTCAATTGATTTGATTATAAATGATGATTTTGCATCGGTTTTTAAAATCGCAAAGATCCGTTTCTAGGCACGATATCCGATTCTTAAGGGTCGTCAGTTTAAACCAAAAGGAAAATTGCTCAATTTAATGGTTCAATCGAAAATAGGACCGTATTAACATAGCTCAAAGTAGAAAATTGTATGAATGAATATCGGCAGTGCCGATTCGGCACAGTCGGCTCGCGTATGCTTGAGACTCCGGTGCGTGCGTGTCGTCGGGCCCGCTCTAGAGTGCTCGAGCGAGGATGCCCGAGACCGCGCGAGCATAGCCGCGGCGGTTAAGCCGCTCGAAATAGCTAGGATTGTTGATATAAAAAAATATCGTTGACGCTAGTCCTTGCTCGGGCTCGAGCCTGCCGCCGTCTTGAAGGGCATTTATGCTTTCAATGTGAATTGCGGACCAGAAGAAGTTGTTGCAATTTCAAATATTTTATTTTGCAGTTTTAAAAAGAAAGAAACCTGAAGGAGCAAGCAGTGACAGCGATGATTCCGTGGGTGACCTGGCGAGACCTAGCACATCCAAAGAACCGAACTTAGTTCCCGACTCTTCGATAAATGACTGCAACGAAAATGACATCGGTAAATTTATTGGACAAGCATCAATGTTATCGACTGAAATGAAGAAAGAATTGCTTGAAAACACTTGGTCTCCGTCTGCGACGTATGACTTTGTGGAAGACGCTAAACATTTGAAGAGGAAATTTAATTATTCATGGTTGGAAACGTACTCTCCATGGTTGGCCTATTCCAGGCACCAAAAAGGAGCCTTTTGTAAATATTGTACATTGTTCCCGCCAAATCCAAATTTTTTTAGAGGCGTATTAGGGTCATTTATCATAAGGCCGTTTTGTAAGTTCAAAGATATTCACGAGCATTGCAAAAAGCACATGGAAACCCACTTCCATAAGATGGCACTGGAAGCCGCTAAATCATTTCTTGGAAGTGTACCTGTAGATTTACAACTCAACAAATACTCCCGGGGCATTATTGAAGAAAACCGAAAAATTATAACATCTATTATTTCCTGCATTACGTTTTGCGGGTCGCACGACTTAGCTCTGAGAGGAAAACATTATGGCAAAGGTATTCTTGAGGACTTATACAAGCTACGAATTGACGCGGGAGATTTAGTTTTGAAGAAACACATTGAGCATGGGAAAAAGAATGCAAGCTATCGATCGATTGTTATTACAAAATGAAAAATTATCGCAATTTGTGGAAATGTTATTAAGGCAGACATTGTGAAAAAAGTAAAAGAAGCAGAAGCTTATAGTGTGTTAGCAGACGAAACAGCTGATATTTCCGGTACTGAACAATTATCGATTGGGCTGCGATATTTTGACGAGGAAGCCAATGAGGTCCAAGAAATGTTCGTCGGATTTGTTGAGCTGAAAGGTCTGGATGCGAAATCTATTGCATATTGCATCGATGAGTTTCTGACAAAAGAAGACCTTAAACCTGCTGATAAATGCGTTGGTTTTGGATTTGACGGTTGTTCGACGATGTCCGGAAAAGACGGTGGAGTACAAGCGATCCTTCGCGAAAAATATACGAAAGCACTGTTCTTTCATTGCTCGTCCCATAAATTGAATCTGGTAATAAATGATCTCAATGTTCTTCCTGAAATTCGAAACACCATGGGAACCACTAAAGATATTATTAATTTTTTTCGGGAATCTGTTTTGAGAAGAAAATTGGTACCTAATATTGCCAGGCTCTGCGAAACAAGATGGAGTGAGAAACATAAAACTATCAGAGTATTTAAGGAGAATTTTCCTGTTATATTGGAAGCCTTAGAAAACTTATCGCGTGAAGGAAACAGTGCTACTCGAAAAAATACCTTTCAACTCCATGCGGCTGCTATCAAAATTTCGTTTATACTTTGTATTACTTTGATAGCTAAATACTCTGCTTTGTTAGAACCTGTTGTCAGCGCACTCCAATCCATAGCTTTGGATGTGGTTAAGGCCTCGCAACACGTCAAACGCATTTTGCAATTGCTTAAGAGCCACCGTGATAATCCCGAAAGAGTCACAGATGAAATTATAAAGGATGCTATTGTTGTTGCGGAGAAAGTCGGCCTGGAGGAGGATATCACTTCAATGCCGCGCATTGTTGGGAAACAACGTCATCGAAGCAATCACCCAGCAGAAAGCCCTTCAGAATTCTGGAAAAGATCATTAATAATACCATACTTGGACTCCGTTATTACATCGCTTGAAACACGCTTTGCTGAAGAAAATACTCCATCATTTGCTTTATCTAAATTACACCCCGCACAAATGCAAACGATGTCAGTCGAAAATCTCACAGAAACTTGTGAAACTATCGCTCAGTTTTATAATTTACCAAACATAAAAATTGAAGTCGAGCTTTGGTAGCAATTCTGGCATAATAAACCAAACTCAACAGATCAAACCGTTGTTGATATCCTAAAAGAAGCAAAAACCTTCTTTCCCGACACGGAAAAAGCGTTGAAAATTTTGATCGCTCTTCCATGCACGACGTGTACGGTAGAGCGATCGTTTAGCAGCCTCAGGAGACTAAAAACCTGGCTAAGAAGCACTATGAGTGAAAATCGCCTCAATGGTTTGGCCATGATGAGTGTGCACCGAAAACTTATACATGGAAACTTACAAGATTTTAATAATAAAGTGGTCGAGAAGTTTACAATGAATCCCCGAAAATTATATTTTAATTAACCTAATATAAACAAACAACGACCATTATAATATTAAAATCTGATAATTAAAAAAATACGCTGTACGCTGTACACTTATTCAAATTCAAACTCCTTTTTATTCTATTTTTCTAATAAATGTTATTATAACTTATTTACAAGTTTTTTATTGCATAGTCAAGAGCTCGTGCTCGTGTAGCTTTACACATTGGACTCTGTACTGTCACAGAATACCTACAATTCATACCTACTTTACCTACAATTCATACCTACTTTTCTCATTCATAGAGAATAGAGAAAAGTATCAATTGTAGTATGTAAAGTCAACTTGCCCCCCCCTGCGCCATCGGCTGGCGACGTCCTTGCATTCAAGGTCAACCTTATGCGAAATATTTAGAAAATCGATATCAGTGCTTAAAATCGGAAAGGTTTAAAGGTCTAGAAGATTGCAATGCAGTGGACGATATGAATGACAAGCTCGTGGAAACTGTCCATGCGGTCGGAGCTAAGTTCTGCAAGACCCGCCGCAGAAGAACACAAAAACTCTCCAATCACTCTCTTAATCTCACGGTTGTTAGACGGGAGATAAGGCTGCAATCGTCAGCAGATTTGACAGCATACAGGTGACTGAACAGACAGATCTCCAAATGCATGCGGCGAGACTTACGCAACTTTAATACTGCTCGTATTGAAGAAGCGATTGAGCGGAACCAGGGCTCCAAAGTCTTTGCCAGAGATCTGTCTGCCAGAAAGAGCGTGCTGTTAAAGCTGAAGACTGAGTGTGGCAGCATCTTTCCAGGACACCTGAGATTTTGAGAGGTTCTACGAGCAGCTGTACACATCATCGTTGGAGCCACACGCAAGTGTAAGTAACGATTAAAGAGCAAGTTTTATCCGACACTATTCCGATGATATCCCGGACGTCAATCTGAGCGAGATTAGAATGGTTCTCTAGCACCTTAAAAACGGCAGGACCCCAGGCGAGGATGGAAGTACAGCGGAGCTTCTGAAAGCGGGTGGAACACCGGTACTTAACGTCCTTCAGAAGGTCTTCAATTCCGTCCTATATGGTGGCACTACTCCGGAGGCGTGGAGCAGAAGCGCAGTGGTCTTGTTCTTTAAGAAAGTCGACAACGCTCTCTTGAAGAACTACAGACCGATTTCCCTTCTGAGCCGCGTCTACGTGCTGTTTTCGAGAGTCATTAAGAATCGTCACGCACGCAGACTCGACGACTTTCAGCCTCCCGAACTAGCCAGCTTCCGAAAAGACTTCAGTACCTTAGACCACATACATACCCTGCGGCACATTGTACAGAAGACCGAAGAGTACAATCTGCCACTTTGCCTGGCGGCCTGCCTGGACTATGAGAAAGCCTATGATTCCGTCGAAATTTGGGAAGTGCAACAGTCCCTTCAGCGGTGCCAAGTTGACTATCGGTATATTGAAGTGCTGAAGTGCTTATACAGTAGGGCTACGATGGCTATCCGAGTACAGAAATAGAGTTCAAAACCTATCCAACTGCAGAGAGGTGTAAGACAGGTTGACTTTATATCCCCGAAACTCTTCACCGCTGCATTGGAAGACATTTTCAAGCTACTGGACTGGAAAGGATACGGTTTTAACGTCAATGGCGAGTATATCACTCACCTTTGAATTGCCGACGATATCGTCCGTATGGCAGAACCGCTGGAGGACCTAAGCATTATGCTCAATGACCTCATTGGTGTCTCCTGACGGATAGGTCTTAAGGTGAACATGGACAAAACAAAGATCATGTTTAATGTCCATGTCATACCTATGCCGGTAGTTGTCTTGGGAGCACTATGCTCGAAGTTGTGAGAGTACGTTTATCTTCTTAATCGGCTGGGCAGTTCAAATTACGTCCGTTAGGTATACCAAACTCTGAAAACTAGATTGTACGATCAGTGCGTGTTACCAGTAATGATTTACGGATCTGAGACGTGGTCCTTTACTGCTGGCCGTATGAAGACGCTCAAAGTCACTTAGCGAGCTATGGAGAGGTTTATGCTCAGGCTTTCTATGTGTGTTAAACTTAGAAATGAGGATAGCCGCAGTAGAACTAGAGTGACCGAAAAAGCCCAACGGATATGTAAGCTGAAGTGGCAATGAGCCGGCCATATAGCTCGAAGAACCGAAAACCGAATGGGAAAAAAGGTTCTCGAGTGGCAGCCTCGTACCGGTAGGCGTAGTGGAGGGCGACCCCCCACTAGATGGAATGACGACCTGGGAATATATGCAGGAAGTCGATGGATGCAGGTGACTCAGGACCGTGCTTTGTGGCATTACTTGGGGGAGGCCTATGTTCAGCAGTGGACTTGTGAAAGGCTGTAATGATGATGATTCAGCTCTGAACAAAACATTACTCATTTTAGGGTGCCACAAGGCAGTGTATTAGGCCATACAAAACCCAATTTTTTATATGTATCAATGAACTTTGCAATCTTGAACTTAACTCAGGTAAATTAATATATTACGCAGATGATATCGTGCTACTTTTTTTCACAAATACAGTAGAAAAAGTTTATTTACGTACACATCAAGGTTTAACATGATCAATAAAAGCCTCCAACAAAATATATTATCACCAAATTCGGACAAAACCAAATATATTCATTTTACTACGCGCAGTTTAACCCAGATCAATGTTGCTGCCAAATTTCAAATTCGCAGAGGCTAAATGTAATTGCCCAGTTATTTTAAATAAAAAAACTGTTAAATATCTTGAAATAATTAAAGATTTTACTTTTTTATAGAAGGAGGTGAACGACCTGATGGTAAGTGACTACCACCACCCATGAACAACCGCAACACCAGGGGAATTCGTGTGCGTTGCCGGCCTTTTAGAAAGGAGTACGTTTCTTTCCTTGAAGGTCCCTAAGTCGTATCGCTCCGAAAAAATCGCCGGTGATAAACAATTCCACAGAGAAGTTGTACGAGGAAGGAAAATCTTAGTAAAACGTACAGTGGTGGACTGCCAAGCATCCAGATGGTGAAGATGGTATCGTGAATTTTGACGCGTTTGGCTTCGTGAAATTTTTGTGGCTGTTAATCCGAAAAATTCGTCAGAGCACTCCCCGTGGTAGATGCGATAGAAAATGCAAAGATAAGTCGACGTCAAGGATTCCGGTACTGGCTGAAGCAACAAGGGTTTGTGCCTTGAAACTGAGGGGACACGAGATAGGGGTTCTTTTTAGCTGTAAACGCGCAAACTTGTGTCTTCTAAAGATTAATCTGAACTAGAGTTAATCGCCCCCAATCCGAGACTTTGTTCAGCAAAGATTCGACTTCAGACGCAAGTTTGTCCTGGTACTCAGCGGCGTTTCCCCGAGAAATTGGCACGGCCGGTGTATATAGAGCATCAACAGTGCTGTCATCCGCATCGCAATGAATGTTACCGGCTTGCAACATATCATTGATTGCAGAAGAAACAAGCTTGTAATCGAAGCATGCACCTTCTAGTAGCGACCTTGATGCTCCAATCTACAAGAAAACTAGCTGACCGCACAGATCAGCATGTAAAATTTCTCGGGAAGCCCATAGAAAGGGAGCTTCGAAAAAAGCGCTTTATGCCAAAATCGATCGAAGGCCTTCGCGATGTCCAAACTAACGGCCAGTGCCTTCCTCTTGGACTCTACGCTCATTTATGAGTCAGGTAGATTCATTCAGCTGGTGATCTTCAAGGTACTACATGAGCAAGCAGTTTATGATAGATTCCATTATTTTGGAGAACAAAGAGGTGATGGCGATAGGTCTGTAGTTAGACGGATCTGTGCGATCGCCTTTTTAAGGATTGAGTGAACAAAAGCCGTCTTCCATGATTTCGAGACTACGCCTAGGGAGTAGGAGTATCTTAAATGACGCGCTAGAACCGGTTCCAACTCTGGAACACACGTGTTCCACCCAATTGGGACGATTCCGTCAGGCCCACTCGACTTTTAGATACCCAGGGATAGGAGTGCTTTGCGAACCGAGCGTGGTGTGAACCACACATCCGGCATGGAGCACTCACACCACGGGATGGTCGTCGGTGTCTTCCACGTGTCATCGAGTATCGAGTTGGACGCAAAGAAAGAGCCTAGCAGATCGGCTTTCTCCTTTGCGGCATGGGCCAGTGAGTCGTCCCTTGGACAGCCTTGGCGAGAAACCAGAATACACGGGTTCCAGAAGGAAGGCGGACTAGTTTCTAGCCAATTCTGCCTATGTGCTCTGACTTTGCAATTTTTCAAAGTTCAAGACTTTGCTCTGGAAATGACTCTTTTGAAGTACCTGGAGGCGATATCATACTTCTTTTTTAGGGCGCTGGTGTTTACATCCCAGGACGTTGATGCGTCAGCCCAGGCCCGGTAGCACTCCTACTTATAGCATGGTGCTATTTCACAGGAGTGACTAAACCATTGTTAAGATCTGCCTCCGATGGGCAACACAGAGGAAGGAATAAAAACATTCCATACCCTGAAGTACCATATCAGCGACAGAATGAGCAACAACTTTGGGATCATCCGGCAAGAAGCAAACCAAGGGTAGGAGCATGCAAATAAATACCGCATCCTATCCAAATAGGCTGACTTAAAGTACCAATTACGGCAGCAGCCAGCAGAATGCAACCGCGATTTGAGCGTGAGTGGCACCATACTCAGAACTAGACAATGGTTCGAGGAGCCAAGAGTGGCGTAGACGGA